TATATATATATATATATATATATATATATATATAATATTAAAATTATTTCTCTTTAACTCGAATTCAAAATATTGAAGATCAACTGCATCACAATTAGACTATTAAACTAACAAATGTTGGTAGAGGATACGTCATATATGATAATTTTGTTAAATTTTTTAATATATACTTCTAAAGTTTTTTTTTTCTTTTTTAAGTTTTCATGAAATTTCGAACACCATGGACCACTACAAATATATTTTCTACTGTAATAGACTTTTCCTATAGGGGGACTAGCTCCTTTTGTTAGACCAACTTCACTGATAGAATGATTTTTATTTAATTGATAGTGTAAAATTATTTTATTATATTAATTAATACATAACTTTTATTTTAAATCCATAAAATAATTATAATTTATTTATGGAGTAATATTAGGGAAAAAATGGTGAGAACCCCACGCATAGTTTTTTCCCTTGTTAAACCGGGACAAATTCCCTCCAAGTTTGAAGTGATCTACGCACACAGCACATAGGGTTTTGGGGGTTTTCTCTTCTCTGCATTCTGAAACCCTTCCCATGTCGTCGTCGTCGTCATCAAGTAGCGCCTACGACGTGCCATGGGTGGAGAAGTACCGTCCCAACAGAGTCGCCGACATTGTCGGCAACGAGGACGCCGTCTCCAGACTCCAAGTCATCGCTCGCGACGGCAACATGCCCAACCTCATTCTCTCCGTACGTCTCTTATTTCAACCCTAATTTCACAATTTTCCCTTTTCTTCTAACTCTCCCATTTCAGGGTCCTCCCGGAACCGGGAAAACCACTAGCATTCTCGCCCTCGCGCACGAGCTTCTCGGCCCAAATTACAAGGAAGCCGTTCTCGAACTAAATGCATCGGATGATAGGTTCCTTTTCTCATTTCTCAATTCACTTTTTCTAAATCTAAACGCACACTAGTTCCTGCTAATTTATCCTCTCACTTTTTGTTATAGAGGAATTGATGTTGTGAGGAATAAGATCAAGATGTTTGCTCAGAAGAAAGTGACACTACCTCCGGGGCGACACAAGGTGGTGATACTTGATGAAGCTGATAGGTGAGTTTTCATGGTAATTTAATTTAATTTTGTCCAATTGATAGTGTTAGGTGCCTGTTCTTATTTTCTCTGCCTTTTTATTTTGTTATTTTCTTTCTTAATTTAGCATGACCTCTGGGGCGCAGCAAGCATTGAGAAGGACGATGGAGATATTTTCTAACACTACTCGCTTCGCTCTTGCTTGCAATACCTCCGCTAAGATTATTGAGCCCATTCAGAGTAGATGTGCCATTGTGCGATTTTCGCGATTATCTGATCAAGAGATACTTGGTCGCCTCATGGTTGTGGTTCAAGCTGAGAAGGTAGCTCGAACTTCTATTCTGCCTTCAACCATGTTAAGTCAGGCTTGTGGTATTCCTCTTTGTTAGAGGAGCATAGTTCTAGCATATGTACTGTTTGATTGTCTGTCTTTATTGTAGACGTTACAGTTGAAATTGCATGACCCCTTTGTCACGAGACTTTAGACTAATATGACAATAATTACTATTAGTTGCATGATCTAATATGTTGATTTTTCTGGTGGCCACAAACTTGATGGCTTTTTAACATTTGAGGGATTTCAGGTTATTTTGTTTGCCCACTTGTGAAAGACTTTAGATGATGCAGTCTGTTTGGTTTATTTTTCTGTCTCAGCTAGCTAGCCCAGTAATAGTTTACTTATATGCAGAGTATCCTTATAAGTAAATGCATGAGTTCAAGGTGTTCGGAAGTAGTTGCTCCGTGCCATTTCATTCCCTTTGAGCTTAACATTATGGTCTTTTAAACAAAATATTTGATTACTTGCTTCCCTGGTTCTGTGCTGCTACCTGATATGGTAGTAAAAGGTTTGCAGATAATTTGCAGCAACTAAATCTTATAGGAGGATATTTTGTGCATGCATTCTTAGTTTCTTATTTTCCGTCTTTTAAAATGTGGCTTAATGTGCGAGGCTCCCACCATTGTGGGTTCTTCTATCATCAAAATTGTTTTAATGATTTTTGTCATTGGCAAAGGTGAAATGGTCAAGAATAACCTATATGTTTATAAAACTGTTTTTAGTTGCCACAATGTTATTATTATTAATGGTGGAGGACGCAACCCAAAAATTTGCCATAAAAATATGGAGGATGCTGTTGCATATATGGCAGAAGCATGGTGGCTATACTATAAACAAAATAATAATAATAATAATAATAATAATAATATACTTTTGTATTAAAAAACTAGAGTATATAAAAATAAATAAACACATAATATTTATAAAAAAAACTAGAAACACTAAATTCACCAAAAGTATCACAATTAACATTTAAGGGGTTATAATATATATATATATATATATATTATAATATTATAAGCCTTATAGCATAAATTAATTAGAAAATAGAAACTACCAAGTTCAAACAATACATTGAAAATTGAGAACAAAAACCTAGACAGATAAATTAAAGATCTGAACCCTAAAGATCTACCTCCACACTAACATGGTTATCTTCCTTGTCATCTGGTAAGGCACATCCCTCTTTCTCTTCTGCCACATTACTTAATTTCTTCTTTTGTTCCTCTGCGCAACTGTCTTCAAATTCCAAATCTTCTAAAGCTTCAACTACTTTTTCTTTTTCTTTAGAGCTTGAAGTTGCACCTGAACTTTTTTTTTTTTGTTGAAATTTTTTCTGCTGCAACATCACTTTAAGGTTTATTCTCCTTTTCTAGTTTTCTTTTCAATATCTGTTCTAGGCCCACCAAACCATGAAATCTTGTATACAGCTGCCAAATTTTGAATATCATCATCTTCAAATATGAAATCTGAATTTTAGGTTCATAGAACAGAATGGAGAGCAATAGAAAGAACAGAAAGGGATAAAGGGAGAGGGATTAAACAGGGAAAAAAAACAGATGAAATGAAGGAACTTGAGTTCTGTCTAGGAAGAAACAGATGGAGGAGAGCAGTTCCATTTCGGCATTACCTGAGTAACAGGACTTGCCAGAGACTGTCTCCGGATATGATTTCTGGTTGCGAGAGATGGTGGTGGATGGCTGCAAGTGCATTGGAGAAGGTTTATGTTGATTTATTTTAATGGAGAGAATAATCTTTTTCCTTCAGAAATAAGAATCCTAGTCTAGTGTAGTGACTAGGAGAGTTCATTCATTTATTTAAAACCCTAAAACTACCTCTATTTCCTACCTCTCTACAATTTATGCTGCTACTGCCATAACCACCATGAATGGTGCCATTCCATACTTCTTCCATATTGTTCTGTTCCAATTCTGCAATGCCATAGCACAACTATTGCCATAGCCGCTATTTGATAATACTGGTTGCAATCTATTTGGCTTTAATTATATTGAGGAAATGAATAACTGAATTTTGTTATTGTTGAAGGTTCCCTATGTTCCTGAAGGACTTGAAGCCATCATTTTCACTGCTGATGGTGATATGAGGCAGGCCTTGAATAACTTGCAAGCAACATTCAGTGGGTTCCAATTTGTTAACCAAGCAAATGTTTTCAAGGTTAGAATCAACCTTGAATTGTAATTTGTATTTCTCACAATGTACCATTTGTCTTGTTGAAATCCGTGATTGGTTTCAGGTTTGTGACCAGCCGCATCCGCTGCATGTGAAGAATATGGTTCGTAATGTGATTGAAGGGAATTTTGATGAAGCTTGTTCGGGCCTCAAGCAACTGTATGACTTGGGATATTCCCCCACAGATATCATCACGACACTTTTTCGTATAATAAAAAATTACGATATGGCTGAGTACCTGAAGCTGGAATTCATGAAGGTAGTTAGTTATCGGTTGGCTTACACACAAACAAGCATGCTAAATATCTGATTAACAATAGTTTTCTTCAAATTGCAGGAAACTGGGTTTGCTCATATGAGAATTTGTGATGGAGTTGGTTCTTATCTTCAGTTGTGTGGTCTATTGGCTAAGCTTTCTGTTGTTCGTGAGACGGCTAAAGCTGTATGAGTAGTTTTCCTGAGTACAGCTGAGATATGTCATTATTTTTTTCAATAGTAAAAATGTTCTGTTGATGTAGCCTTATACTCTTGATGTCTCGATGCTAACTGATGCTCCAATGCTTCGACTTCTATAAATATGTTGCGTTTAGAGTGGGTCAATAACTATCTCTTCTGAAAATGTTTTATTTGTATACTATTTAGTTATAGTTATTAATTATGATCGCAATTTTATAATATGTGACGAATAAAGCAGAGTACTTCTCTCAAGACATCTAGAAAGGTCTATGGTTGAATGTGGTGGTTAGTTGCTTTTAATTGGAGGAGGGACAGGATTTGCTGCAGTCCACAAATCTCTCCCGTTTGATTAATCCACGATTTCATGTTATGCCACATCATTCCGTTTTTGTATTGTGAACTAAGTTACATAGCAACACAAGTTGTTTACCCATCAAATAAACTAATGTCGTGCCTGGAGATAAATGCACCACGTATACGAAGGCAATTTGGCCGCGTTTTGCCTTGAGAGCCAACTGTTGAGAAAAGTTTGCACTAACTACTAGAGTATTTTCTGTGGAAGCTTCAAGAAGCACTATCACGGCAAAAAAGCTAGAAAATCAAAAACAAAATACGAAATTACAGAGAAAATTTTTGGAGGATCCTTCTCTATAAAAATGGACATTCCCTTGCATCTTATTATATCCAAATTTATTAAGTTTTTGCAAACTTTGTATTCAAGGGTAATTATAATATGTCATTCTCAACAATTTCACATACCAAATTTTAAAGTAGAACAAAAAAGTAAACCAAAATATTTTAAAAAGAATCGGCCAATCCATGATTTAAAAGCTCATGAACTAACAAAAGCATACTTGACATGATATTAATTAACTAGTGCTCGTTATATCGAGACCTTAACAAGTAAGTAATAAAGACAACACCTGTAACTTGAAATGGAGTGCATACAATCTTGTAACAAAAATGCGCCAAATTTTTTTGAACTGTGTAGTTTTTACCATGATAGCCATCGCCCAAAGGTGAAGTGATGGACTTTCCACTTGCTATTCTGCAGTTCGCTGTGAGCAAGACATTGGTGCCTTACTTATCAGCACAAATTCAAGTCATTTACATTACTTATCAGCACAAATTCTTTTGTTGTCATGAAAGCTCAGTGAAGTGACATGTGCTCAATGGTCAATACTGGTCCTATTCCTTCTTCATAATCATCAATATTTCAGATTGTATGTAGATACAGAAAGAAATAGAAGATCAGCGGGGCAAAAATTTTAGATATAAAATTAAAATATTGGCATCGCCCGGACTCGAACCGGAGACCTTCAGTGTGTTAGACTGACGTGATAACCAACTACACCACGACACCAAGTTATTGATGGTTGTTACATATTAGCTTTAGTTAATTATATATATAAAACCCTTAGTTACAACTTACATGGCAAAAATTTTAAAAACCATATCATACAAAGTGGCGTCGCCCGGACTCGAACCGGAGACCTTCAGTGTGTTAGACTGACGTGATAACCAACTACACCACGACACCAATTTGCTATAAATTTTCTATGCTTAATTCCACCTACTATTTGTTGAATTTTAACAAAATTTATATAAATTTTCTAAGCATTTCAAATATTATATTACTTACTTTAATATATATAACATTTATAGTAATTGAGTAACGTTGTAATTCAGTCATTACAAATAATATCTAGATTCTATAAATAATATTAAAACGATTTTGACTTATTAGAATTAAATTATTAAAACCATAATTCATAAATAATAATAAAAAATTAAATATTTTTCGATTCATGTAAATCGGCCAAGTTTTAATTTTGATTTTTGTAATTTTTAAAATTTTTATCCTAAAACTTAAAATTACTAATTTTAGTTGTTATTATTATGTGACTCTTAATAACCACTTATGTATTTATCAAAAGGTTAAATGGCTATCTTAAATATATCCACAACTATTTATGATACTTAGTGGTGGGCAAAAAAAATTGAACTGAACTGAACAAGTGGTGGACTGAACTGAATTGTACTATAAAAAATTAAATTATTTGTAAAAAAATTGAACTGAACCATTTAAAAAAAACTAAACTGAACTGAACTGTTAGAAAGTTGAATTGTATTGAACTATATAAACTTAACTGAATTATAAAAATTAAACTATTTTTATAAAAGGATAAAAATTAAATGTGTCTAACATGTTCTATCTAAATAAATTAGTTCGATAGTCTAATGACCAAAACTTTGAGAAAAAAAGTTATCAAAAAAAAAATTGTATCAATTTTGTTGAGCCTAACGAATCAATTGAACTATGTTGGATGATTTATTATTAGACTTAAAATTCACTGAGTTTGTTTGACTCAATTTTATATTTTTTTCCTTTGAAAAATTTAAATAAAATGGAAAATAAAGTATAGTTGGCAAATGTGTCCTATCTTGACAGATCAATGAGTCGGAATTTTTCAATTCAAAATATCATAACAGTTCAATACAGTTTGAATTGTAGTTCAGTTAAAGTTTTATAGTGTGGTTCAGTTCGATTCAATGATACAAAAGAATAGTTGAGTTTGTTTGAACTAATATTCAGTTTAGTTCAGTTCATGAGAACTACTTTTAAGTTCAGTATAGTTTTTATAAGTTCAGTTCAGTTCAGTTCATTTTGTCCACCCTAAACAAGTGTGGTGTCTGGTTAATAAGCCTAACTAACTAGTGAGTTAGAATGTTTAAAGCTAAGTATCATTCACATGGAGACTTTATACAACATTAGGTCACAACACCTAATGCTTGGAGGAGCTTATTGAGTGTACAACACCTATTAAAGGAAGGTCATTGCCAGAAGGTTGGTAGTGATGCAAACATCTCGATTTGGGATAATCCTTGGTTGAGACATACTAACGAACATTGCCATATTGAATATTAGTTCAGAAGAACTCAACTAATAATAACTAAATAAACTAATTTTTATCATAATTATTATTTATTATATGACTTAAATATGTTTAATTTTTTTAATTAAGTAAATGAATGAAAATGAATTAAAAATATATTTTAATTAAAAGTATATATATATATATATTATGAATAATTAAATTAAAAGTATATTTTAAAATATTCAAAAATTAATATAAAAAGAAAATGATAGTATAATACTTATATCTCTAAGGAGTAAAAGTGCAATTTACTTATTTAAACATATAAATGATAAACAATGTAATACTTACATATCTTAAAAAATGACAGTGTAATTTACATTAATATTAATTGTTAAGTGAAATAAACTAATAAATTATACATTTTATCATAAGAAGAAAGAATAATATAATATTCTTATATTTTAAGAGAGAAAAATGTAAATTTTTTTAATGATGTTAAATTAAACACTCTGAAATTAATATAAAAAGAGAGTGATAATATAATACTTATGTTTCTAAAGAGTAAAAGTACAATTTACTTATTTTAACATATAAGTAGTGGATAGTGTAATATTTATATATCTCAATAAAAAAATGTAATTTACATTAATGTTAATTGTTAAGTTAAATTAACTAATAAATTATATATTTTATTATAAGAGGAAAATTAATGTAATATTTTATCTGATAATCATGTTACATTTTTTTTATATAGATATTTCTTTACCAAAAATTAGATATTATTTTCCTTGAAAAAGAAATATGAGAGAAATATTTTATCTTTTTTGAATAATTTTTTTTATGATATTAAAAATTGATGTTAAAATTATTAATAAAACTATTTTTATTTTATTAAATAAATTATAAATCATCTTAAATATAATATTAAAATAATTATTATAATTTCATAATTTTAATTATTTAAATTTACAATTATTAATGCATAATAATAGTATTTTAATATTTCACTTAAGTTCCTCTCATATTTATGTTTAGGTGTCTTTTTTTCTAAAAAAATTTATTGAAACGTAATTATAAAGCAATATAATGTTGGATACTTTGAAGGCTTTTTTGATCTGGAAAGTATACTTGTCCTTCAAGTAGAGTTGAATACAAATACGACAGCGTATATCATCACGGAATTCCAAACACACACTTCTTCTTTCACCTTATTAACCTTAACCCACGCCCGAAGAAACTATATCTCTAAAAGCCCAACCCTTTCTACATACAGAGACTACACACTCGCAACAGCCAATTTTTTTTATTTTTATTAAACAAAAAAGAGAAGAAAAAAAAAGCACTGAGTTTTTGTTTCATTCATTTTCGATTTCAATGGCGAGGCCTAATCAGGAGGCAGTTGAGACGTTCGTCAGTATCACCGGCTTGCCTGAAGCAATAGCGTTGCAGAAACTCGAGGTAGGTTTTTTATCCCCTTTCCTTTTTTTTTTTCCTAATTATAAAAGTACTTCATAGCTTTTAATTGGGATCGAAGGAGGAAAAAAGGTTGGAATTTGATTTTCAATAGCTGTTTGATCGATCTTAGTTAGGGTTTTCGTGCAATTGGGTGATGACTTTTGTTATTTTTTTAAATTGTTTGTTTTTTTTGTAAAATTCTACAAAAAAAAGATTCGATTTATATATCTATTTCTTTTTTCTCAAATTTATGTGTAGATAATACTTTTTGGAATCATTGTATTCTGTACTAGGATGTTGGCTTTACTAGAGGTACAATTTAAATAAATGAGCACCCTAGGTCGTCGCTGATTAGGTGCAGACATTATCGTAAATATAGGAAATACAGAGTATGATCGTAACATTGCAATTGTCGTCTTGGTTTTGTAACATGATATGGAGTTAAAAATGGGCTGCTGAGTGCAGACAAATATTGGCTTTGAGGCAATATATTGTAGTATTTTATCTTTGATGATGGTAATATCAGAAATCTGTTGTTTATTATATGCTAGTTCTTGTAGAAGCACAATGAGGATCATATAACTTTACTAAACTTTGAAAGTTTCGGCATGTTGTGTTACCAAGCAGACACGGGTCTCCTTTTTAGCCTTTTGTCTAACCTCAGATGATTATTGACCAGATACTTATACGAGATTGGAATGTTACCACTTATTGCAATTAGAAATTTTTATAAGTGACCGGTCACTCTTCTTATAGTGTCAGCTTCTAATTGATCTACACAAATATTTCTGATTGTATCCAATAAACTAATATGACTGGTTTATTTGTATAGAACAAGTGATTGTTTATAAATTTCCTCTTCATTTGTAAATGTTGTTTCATGTCAGGAACATGGTGGTAATCTCAATGAAGCAGTCAATGCACATTTTAGTGAAGGAGACAGAAATCTAATGACAGGGTATACTCTCTTTTCCATTAGTAAGAGTGATCATTGGGAAATATAACTTATAGTGGTTTTACTGTTTACATTATAAATCTTTATTGTTGTGATTTTGATATTTTATATTTTTTCTTCGTGGCCAGTTCTCACAACAGCTCTACTGCATTTCCTCAAGATGATTTCATGGATATAGATGATCAACATGATGCAGAAATTCACAGACCCCCATCATTTCCGGTTTCAGCAGCAAATCTCAATCCGTTTTCTCTTCTCGATTCAACAATTGGGAGAGGTATATTTGGTACTCATCTTGATTCAACAGTCCAGGCACCATTTGTTACACATCCAAGAGAGGTAAGGGAGATTCCTATAGAGGTTAAGGATGGTAATCAATCCACTTCTCAAGCTGGTCATGTTCCGACCATTGAAGATGTCACTGGAATTGAGGCCCATGGTCCAGATATCCATGGAACTGTTATAATCAATGATGAAGATGATGATGATACTCTACCTGCCCAAGTTGCACATCAAGATGAGCAAAGACATAAGATATTGGCTGATACTTCACTTGGTAGCAGTGCTAGACCTAGTGCTCCTGAATCTGAAAATTTACCTGATTCTAGCAATGACATAGAAGAAGAAATGCTTCGTGCAGCCATTGAGGCTTCTAAGCGGGAGGCTGAGGAAAATTACAGAAATCACAAACTTGGTGGACAAATTGTATGTGTATTTCTTGATGGATTTTCTCATGCTTTGTTACACTTGATACTTGTATTAATTTTTATTTTCCACTTGGTGCAGGACTCAAATGAATCAGGACCACAGTCAAAGCAATCTTATTTGGAGGATCCGGAGCTTGCCCATGCAGTTTCATTGTCCCTGAAGGTACTCCTGTAATTTGTATTTTCTTATTTCTTTACATCATGAGAAAAACCACCGATGTGTTATTATCACCAAGATATATAGACCATAGCTTTGATTTTAATTTTTTATATATACATATATTTGAAATTTGGAACCTTGATTGCTTATAACATGAAATGAATTCAGACGGCTGAGCAAGAAAAGGCATGGCGTGTACATGGAGGAGATTTTGAACCACAAACAGTAGGACCATCTAAATCATTGGAGGTTGGACTAGGGGAAGTGGCATCAAATGGAAGGTACATTATCTCTTTCTTTTTGCTTGTTGCTGTTGCACTCTGCTGCATTGACTGTGCTGAACTCAGCATTCTCTTGGATTGTCGAATCTGAAAGGGACAATTGTGGTCATTCTAGATTGCAGGCTGGAAACTTGTCCTTCCATGATGAAGCCGAAGATGTAGAGGAGCAGCCACTGGTTAGGAACAGATCTAGACATATGTCTTCGGGATCCACAGGATTGGACAAAGATGTTGAATTTGGTGAAGCTAGCGCACTGCCAAGCACAACAACACTGGATAGCAGTAATCCTGATCATAATGGAAATTCCTTCCCCTCTGATGAGGTATAGGCCTTCACTTTATCCTTTTCAAAAAGTATTAAAACTCTTTTATTACTTGCTATGTCGTCTCAACTTGTCTCTGCCTCCCAATTCCTAATCTTTGACTAAAATGAAATTGCAGTGGGGTGGCATTTCTTCAGAGGAGCATGATGAAGCAGTAATGCTTGAAGCTGCAATGTTTGGTGGAATTCCAGAAGGGAGTGGGTATCACTATGCTTATGCACCACATGAGTTTATGCAAAATAGGGGTTCCAATCCTCGGCCCTCATATCGCCCACCTTCACCATCACTGGCTGCTCAGCGCTTGATAAGGGAGCAACAGGTGTGATTATTTATACAATAGGCTAGAGTTGTAGGTTATTAATGGTCTGATTTTCGCTATTGCTCTATATGTTTATGTATGCAGGATGATGAATATCTTGCATCATTGCAAGCAGACAGAGAAAAAGAATTGAAGGCCATGGAGGAAGCTGAGGCTGCTCGTGAAGAAGAAAGGCAGAGGGCGGAAGAATCTCGCAGGAAATTGCAAGAAGAGCAGGTAGTGCATTTGTAACTGATTGCCTTGTTTTTTCATTGCCCCTTGCATAAATCCTGATGTTGATGGGATTTTATTCCTAGTTTCGCACCCACTAGGAAAATAATAAGATTTTAGGTATAAAAGGTGAAATTTTTATTGTCAATGACAACATTAAGAACCGCCGTACACTTGGTCCAAGAAAGATTTGTGTTTTTATTATATTTTATTCTTTTCTTGATTTATATCCTGGATATGATTCCTTTTGCAAATCCTAGCTATGAATTCATACCTTCCTAGAGAAAGAAAGCAAACTCCTGGTTCCAAATTATTTAGGGTATGTTTGGGAATCATTTGAGTACTTGAGTTCAACTCAACTGTGGTTGGGAAGGAAAAAAAAAATACTCACAACCTTTTCCTTTTTCTACATTGGAACGTGTGTTTTCTCATTGAACATTGTTTTAAATTGGTGTCCAAATATACACTTAAATCATGTTAGGAATTGGAAACCAAGTTAGCAGCCAAAGAAGCCTCATTACCACCAGAACCATCAGCAGATGATGATAATGCTGTGAACTTGATGGTAAAAATGCCAGATGGTAACCGTCGTGGACGTCGGTTCCTAAGATCTGATAGGCTACAGGTAATGTCCTGTTAGAATGTATGCTGTTTTTTCCCTTTCTATTTTTGGTGCATACTCATGCTAAACTTGCTTCTGGACATTTTCAGTCTCTGTTCGACTTTATAGATATTGGTAGGATGGTGAAACCAGGCAGTTACAGACTGGTGAGAAATCCCACTGCCTTTCAGTCTTACTATCTTACTATTAATTATTCAGAGAAATGATTTATTTGCACCATACTTTTTTTAACGTTATTCTTTGGACAGGTGAGACCATATCCTAGGCGTGCTTTTAGTGACGGAGAGAGTACTGCCACACTGGTTGAACTTGGCCTCACCAACAAGCAAGAAGCTTTGTTTTTGGAGTTAATCTAATGCCTTGATGCAATTTGCTACAAACAAGCTATTGAAGTTTTTAGTTTTATTAAAAATCAAAATTACAATATGAATCACAATACACAGACGGATGTGGCATTTTAATTGGGTTTCTACTGTTTGGTGATGCAATTTATAAATTTACAGATCTACAAGATCAGTACAGTACCATTAGTTTTACTTGTGATGACTAAATCCTTATGGCGAATGTTTTGTATATTATGCGGTAACATTGACGAATACTTCATAATTAGCGAAAACCTAACGTTTCCCCTTATTTGCAAAGAAATTCAAGTTCAATTTAGAGGCTCCTAGCGTTATCTTAATGTTTTTATTAAAAAAAGAAAGAAAAAGGTTTAGCTTATTTGTACTGTAAGATACTTGTTAATAAATAAAAGAGATTGTTATACTAAGCATATAATATTTAATAGACTTGTGTTTTAATATCTCGGCTGTTGATAAGTACCAGCAAAATTCGAAGAAAAAAATATTAATGTCTATTTTCTAAGTTTATTATAACTTCTTTTTGGTAACATTTTAAAGGGGAAGTTAGCTATACAGTATCCAAAATATATTATTACATTTGGTTTTCCAATACGGAAAATTCTCAGATGTGAACTTAACGAGTTTTGTTTTGATTAATATAAAAAATCAATTATTTTGATAATTATAATATATTATAGTCTTACATATTTATATTTTATGCTTTTGTTTTTATTTTTTATCTCAAATATTATGTCACTAGATGTTATATCATGTAAATATAAGTAAACAAAATATTGAAATTTAACGATTAACACATGTGAATTTGAAGATGGACTAAAATATCTTATTTTTAAAATTAAGAAGATTAAATATTTTTATTTTAAAATAAATGAATCAAAATTATGATTAAATAAAGTAAAAGAACTAAAAATACAATTTAAACTTATTTTTATGTTTTAAGTGTTTGTAAAAGATATTTTTGGAGAACTTATGTTATTATCACAAGTTTTGCTAGATAGTTTATAAGAATAGTTTATGCACACTTATAAAAAGACACCTTTGAATCTTGATAGGGTCAAATATAATATTTTTTCACCTAAATTAATATAAATATTAATTTCTACAAAAAAAATTAAATATTTATTGTTAGTATTTTCTTATTTTTAATATTTTTTTTTTATAATCTCATTAGGAATTTTTAAAGAGTGTGATAGTTAGTTCTAATTTTGCACAGAATTGTGTCTTATCCTAATTTAAATTTATTGTTGCCCAAAAAATTTAAAAATATAATATAATTATATGAATTTATATTTTTATACATGTTGCTAGTATTTTTGTTATATGTTATTGGTAATTCTTTTATAAGATAAATGTTCAAATTGATCATTGAATTTGTAAGACATTGTAATACTAGTGCTCATTTAAACAAATAATTAATTTAAGATCTTATTTAATAAGCTCTTATGTACTTAAAACTTATGTTATAAGTTTAAAATCTAATAAGTTGTTATATTTATATATACATGTCAACAAACACTTGTACATGTTACATGGGAGTATACGACTATTAGTGTAACTTTTAAAGAGTTTGTTAGTTAGTTCTGATTTTACATAAGGATGTGTCTTATCCTAGTTTAAACTTATCATTGCCAAATATTTTTTTAAAATATAATATAATATAATTATATAAATTAATATTTTTTATATATGTTGTTAGTATTTTTTTTATATTTTATTGGTAATTCTTTTATAAAATAAATGTTCAAATTGGTCATTAAATTTGTTAGACATTATCATATTAGAGCTCGTTTAAACAAGTAACTTATTTAAGATCTAATTTTATAAGTTCTTATGTAGTAAAAACTTATTTTATAAGTGTTTAAAATTTGATAAATTTTTGCATTTATATATATATACATGTTAACAAACATTTATACATGTTACATGGAAGTATATGACTGTTAGTGATATCATATTAGTATTTATAAATTCTTCCAAATAGCACCTTAGCCAATAAAATTTAAAAATTATCAAATATGTTGCTGAAAATATAAATTCACAATCATATTAATTTATAACTAAAAAATATGTAATTAAAGTGATAATATTAACATATATTTAGGAATCAAAATAAACAATAAGTAATTAAATGTAAGAATTTATTTGACAATCTTTTCGTTTCAGTCACCAATATGAAGTGTCTTCTAAATTCAAAGAACAAAGTGGATATTTTAATTCTATAGTAGTATGTAGTGGTTGAATTTTTGTGATAACTTGCTATTTTTATATGCGTATAATTATTCAAACATATATAAATGATTTTTTTTCTTTAAACCTATATCATGCTATTAAATTTCAATTTAACACTTAATTATATATTTAAATCATGTTTTGATCATTAGAAATTTTAATTTTTAAAATCATTGATGGTAGTATGATGATTTTTTTTTTGTGTGCCACATTTTTTTAAATTAATTATATTTAAAATTATCTTCTGAAAATTAAAAATAAGTAAATGGAAAGTATTGATTTTAATATATATATCGGAAG